TTCAGACAAATACGTTTGAAAGGATTGGTAGATATTATTAATAGAAAAGCTGTAACCCACTGTGGTCGCCTGGGGTAAAAGGTCTCGAGGCACGCCTCGAATAGTTTTTCAGCAAATTTGAAAAAAAAATTACCGCAAACTTTCCGAGTGAATGCCTAATCCTTTGCCAAATTCGTGTTTCGCCTGCTCGTCCTGAATTAGAACAGAGCATCCTGTAACGATCGATGTACAAAATCTTTCTGTCATCCGTAATTTTTTGAGCTTTCCTGTATGTTATTTAAGTACTCAAGAGCGGAGAATACCCATTAAATAAAAAGATAAATCAATGTCTCAGATTTTATCACTTTATTACGATTTTGAACTGATGCGATTTTTCTGATCAAAACATATTTTCAAGGAAGATTCATCCGCAGTTATGTGTTTCCCAAATTTCGCTTCAAGACGCAATACCTGGGAAGTTTAGGTACAAATCTTTCGGGTGATCTACGAGTTTTAAATGTTGTGGGCAACAGATTTGTCCAATTATCAGCAAAATGGCACAAACGGTAACTTTTCGTTTAGTTGCAATTAGCCACGCTTAGTAACTAAGGCTGATCAGACGTGATCCTGTTAGCCTCGCGTTCGTGCGCTATCGCTTGAAAACCGTTTATAACCACAAATCAAGAAAAAATCTAAAACTTTCCAGCTCTTGTTCATGTCGGTTCACACATGCTTAAGATAGTCACCGTGTGTTAGTAACTAAGAGTACGGCAGTTCAGGCAGGTACACTGACTACACAATCCGCTCGAACGCGGCGAACCAGGAACAGTCCAAACTGAACTGTAAACGTTGAGAGAATGAGGGTTTATTCCTGTGCTGTTACAGGTTAAAGCTGTGCAATTGTTACAGAATCCCTTCACAGGACTGCTGTAGTCTGTGGGAACGCTGAATCTTGGAGCAGGAAAATTCCCGTCTACGCGTGAAGATGAAATCTTAACCAAATCTGAAACCGTCTGCGCTCCGACAGTGTTCTCGTTTATCGAGGTGGTTTCGTTCATTATCTGTTCCCTCCTCTCTTTCGCTTGCTTATTCCCTAATATGTTTGCAATACTAAAAGGGTGAATTGGCTCTATTGCGCAAGGCTCTTGCTTCACCTGATTTACAGGTATGTTTCTCTGCGCTTCGCTTTGATCGCCTGTGGAAGAATCCTCCATACAAGGACTTTTTGCCGAAGGTGAATGAATTAAGTCTTGAGCAGTCGTCTTTACGGCTCGTCCATCTTGCTTTAGAGGGTTTTTAGCGGCGTGTCCTCGCAAACTGTCGTTCTCCTTTGAGCATGCCTCCAACTCTGTCGAAATTCCATTGTCTTCATCTCCTTCGTCATCTTCATCTTCCTTTCCGCGGTAATTTCTCTGTCTCCTTCGCCTTCTTCGGAAATTTCCTTCCTCGAACATTTCCTCGTAAGACGGATCCAAACTCCAGTAGCATCCCTTTCCGGGATCGGAGCGCTCGCGAGGTATTTTCACGAAGCATTTGTTTAACGACAAGTTGTGTCGAATGCTATTTTGCCAGCCTCGTTTGTTAAGGCGATAATACGGAAAGTTCTCCGTGATAAACTGATAAATTCCACTGAGTGTAATTTTTTCGTTTGGCGCTTGTTTGATGGCCATGGAGATGAGAGCCACATATGAGTAAGGAGGTTTTGGGAGTGGCTCTTGTTCACGGAAGAATATTCCTCCGCCATGGCAGTTCAGAGCGAAGCCAGCTCGACCCCATTGAGGATAAAATGCTGAAGTATAGCTCGGTAAAGCTGGGTGAAAAGATGGCTGACACATGTACGGCGTAGGGTAACAACTACGGTGCGACGGAAACATCTCGTTTGAGTTCACTTTGCGATCTTTAAGGACGGAGTGATAAGCCTGGAGATCTTGAGAAGCAGTCAGGACTGCTTGGAACATTGGAGGCACTGGGAAAAAGTCGCACGGGGTTGTGACTTTTATTTATGGACCACCGGCACTGTTTGTTTATAAGATAAGTAGAGCTTTTGTGTCAAATTATTTATTTACAAACAATCCATAACCGCATTTAGACCACACATTGGCCGATTAGAGCGGAAACAGGTTGCTTGGCAGAAAACTCATCTCACGCACTAATGACTCATTAGACAATATTTCACGGCGTCACAAGACACATGCATCGCTTCTGCAAATATTTACTTAGAAAATCGAGAACAACGCCTTTATGACTTACCCACACTATCATTTGATTGTTTACGCCACGTTTGGAATGGAACAATCTCGAACAACAGCGTCTTTCGATTACTGTCAGCCAATGAATTTTATTTATGAGCTAAGGACAAACTGACCCAGTATTTCCGGGGCATCACAGCGTTTAATGCAGTTTGGAAAAGCAGTTTAGGTTTGTTTGAAGTTAAGAAAGCTTTCACGGGTTAACTAAGGACAGTTTAATGGCAAGCTGATTGTTTTTGCGCCGGTTCACGAGACTTTGGGACGCCAGGTTTTTTCTTTCATTTATTAATAACCATGGTATAGAGTAACAAAACAAGGCTTTTTGTGTTTGACTATGTCAATTGACTCTAAAAAAGCAGCTTGAAGGTAATATTTTTTTTTTTGTTTAAGAACCCAAAGAGCAGCTCTTTATCAATTCAGTACAGTATTTCTTCAAGAATGAAACAATTACTTTCGTAATGCTTTAGTCTCAAAAGGATGACAGCGGTTAACCTTCGCACCACTAAAGAAGAGTAACAATAATAACAAGATTTTGATTTTATCGATTTTTTTAGGACTGTCGGCTAATTTTCTCGTCCTGTCGTTGCTGGGCAAAAAAAAACCTGAAAGTTGAACGTTAATGCATTTTCTCAACGGGAATCAGTGTTTGTAATTTACAATATAAGAGGTGAAAAGTTTAGTGAGAGGCCGCATCGGGGACATAGTTTGCTGACAAGCTTTAAGAATAAAAAGGTAAAAAGAACAAAATATTAAAAAGACAAGGAAGCTGGTAAACTCGAAATTCAGAACCAAAATTAAAATTCCAGCCCCTCAAAAAATGTCCCCGCTCAGGATTCAAGCCGCGATGAAATCTTTACCGCTGCTATTTTCAGATGGATGAAGAAGAAAAACTGAAAACATTACCTAACGCAACAGAGAGTTGAAAGGTTACATCTCAGCTGGACTGTGCTTGATCATTTGCCTATTCTTCTCGTTCCCAAAACAAAATAGGCGCGCCTTTCACAAGCCGGAGGGGAAATTATCGCTATTAGATGGTGATTTCTTTGTTTATGGGGCAATTTATGGCAAACAAAGGCATTTTTAAGCCGAATGGCTAGTGGGTATTTAAAAATGAAGTCAGGTGTAACGTTGTGTCATAAACGATTAGCAATATTTAGCAACACAAGTTGAGAACACTCTCGGAGATCAGAGTCCATTTCTCTTATTTTTGAATTTTTCCTTGGAAGAGTTTTTCTCTCCCGTAGAGCTTTAAAATGAACCACACTTAAGAGCGCCAAAGAAGATGATGTACAGAAAAAGCGATAGAAGAATTTGACAATTGACTAAAGGCTCTCAATACAATTTTCTTCCTTCACTGAGAAGTACTCGTTCGCTCTATTCAGTCGCAAGCAACATGTCAGTTGACTTTGCAGCTTAAAGCCTGCTTAAAGAAATCACGATGCCTTTAAAGAGCACAATGCGAGAGCTGCAATTGAACATTATAAACAATTAGTCCTCAGAGAGTTGAAAAGATATGGGAGTGAAATCAATATGATTCACCTGCTGGGATGAACTTGGCACCAGGAAGGACAAAGAAGGGAAAAACATAGTAAGGGAAATTGTAAAGTGCTATCAGTATTCAATAGTTATGCCTGAAGCTAATTTTGTTCTAAAAAGGTTTCTTCTTCTTTAACATCAAGGCTCGAAACTTCGACTATCCATAATATGAACGATGACCGCACGAAAATACAAAAATATGGCTTCCATCTGTAAACAATGCCGTATCTTCTATAAACAACTGAAATTTTATCATTAGATTTAAACCGTGCTTCAACATTTTTACCGTCTTTCTCGACTTTTCATCAGATAACCGCTATCGAAGTGAAACTACCAACCCACCGCGAGTTTACACGCCGATTAAGACGAACTAACTCGTCTCCAACCAGAAACATTTCATTTGGAGTTAATAACTTTAATAGTTTCGGAATGTTTTCCCCTGATATGCTTTTGCTTCTGGATTACCACAAGAATAAGCAAACTTTCACTCCAAAGACGTAACTCCGGAGAGGAAAAGGTGAACTGAAAAACTTTCTGCAACTTTGTCTTTACAAATCCTATAGAATTTCCGCAAAACTGACATCAAAATAAAAGTGATTAGCTTAAACACAAGCTAATTGCACCGACCTTACGCACTAAAACTCACCAGTTCTAAGAAATGACAGATTTTCAAGTTGTTTGAGAAAGCGAGAATGACAGGCCACGAGTACATTTCAAAGTGGGCATGGTCAATTCTTAGGCTATCAAAACCGAAAAAGAGACTACCACTGGCTGAAATTATTCGCAGCAGTAAAAACTGAGAAGTTTCTTCCCACAATATCGACACATTACCGAAAAAGAAAGGCGATGAGAACAAATATAAACATAAGTACGAAATTAGTGTTTGATCAAACACCAATTTCTCAGGCCTTACTACAAGAAACGTACGGAAAACAGTGAGGAGAAGTGGTATTAAGAGTAAAGGGGTTAATCGCTACCGGGCTTAAAACTGATATCTGTCTAAGACACCCAAAATAAAACAAACTTCAGTTCAGTTGGTGTTCTTCGACACGACGTTTCGCGAATGAAAGATTTCTAGTCTCTTGGCGTTTTTTGCGGGAAAAACAGATTTGAATACAAGGAATCAACAAACTCCCACGTAACTCGTTAACTACCACGTAACCACGCGAGTCGGCAGATACACCGCCACGCGTCCACGCGCCCACGTAGTCACTCAGAAAAGAACCATACAACAGGTAGCTTTAAATGCTTTGTTCATACGTTACAAAAATATTCCTATTTTTCAACAGTATTTTCACTTAGGAAGAAAAATCATTCCACAAAATCATTCGTCAAGGTTTACACCATGGTTGTAAAAACTCACAGAGCTTAAAATACATTGTCACCCTATATACATATATAAATCTTCAGCAAGATGCTATCGTAAATTTTATCGGACAAGAAATGCTGCGCTATGTCCACTTCTGTACTTGCATTATTGTTACTGTTGATTTTCAGCTGATAGATAGGTACACAGATTAACCATCTTCAGCACTAGCCAATTGTAAATAACTCCTGACACAATGCCGATGTCCACGTGCACATCACGTGTGTTACTTCACGCGCTTTCAAAAGACAAGGTTTTTGCGAGTGATACGTTTCCTTTTATTCAATAGAGTTCATGCTCGTAACTTTGCGGTGTTCTGCTTATGAGGGCCATAGTCCTATCTGCTTTCTAAGATTAGAACGGATAGCTGACGTAATAAGCTAAACCCTCTCCAACAAGCTTCAATCACATTTCCTGTAGACGACAAAAAAAAAACGAAAAACCTTTTTTTTTTTTAAGACTTACTCCAGCGATTATCACTGAGTCAAAAAATATACGGTAGTATTTGCGGAGTAAAATAGGTTAAAAAAAACTTACCATAGCTTAACTTGTCTTTACTTATCACTGCATCCTGGTCACCTCGGTGAAGGGTTCGGAGAATTCTAGAAAAAATTACCCTTTGAGTCACTCGTTCCTCAAAGCTCGCATGAAAGAGTCAAAATATTCTTGTCTATCATTCCTGGGTGAAATATCGAGGGAATTTGACTGCTTTAACATGAATGATTCGACTATAATTCTAGGGAAGAAAGGTAAATTATTCGACCCAAGTAAACATTTCTATTAATAAGGTGCTATCAGTTAAGAAAAAACTTTAATTTGTCCCTAATTAAAGGGGAAAATCCCAGAACCTACGACACGCAAACTTTACTTTCGAACTGTGTTCGGAAAACGATCACAGCAATGTGGGAACAAGCTTTGCTCAGGGTCAATGTTCCGTTACATTTGATTGGTTTAAATAGAGCAGTGGTTTGCCTCAACTTAAGACTGATTGGTCCAAGGATCTCACGCCATCCTCCCTGCCAATCATATGCCCCTTTGAGTTCTTGTTTGCTTGCTTGCAAAATTAATCTTCATTTGATCGATAAATGTCCTATCTGTAAACCTTATCCAAAGACGCTCGATCCCACATCAAAGCTGAACACTATTTTAAAATCATGTTATATTAGCGTCAGTGTTAGAACTACATATCCAGTAGGTCTTAATCAAATCAGGTGTCAAAAAAAATAACAGTGCAGGCAAAATACGGATAACGAAAGAGTTAAATTGTCTAAGGAAAACTTAGGCGCCACAAAACGAGACTTTAATGACCATTTGCACAAAGATTCAATTAATAAATTGTTATCTGCAAGAAGAGACGCTGGACAAGCAGACTAACTAAGGCAACCGAACATTTAGAGTCATGGCTAGCACGCATTACATCCATGGTCACGTTCGCCAATCACGTCGCACAACGTCTCAAATTGCTTGAGTGATAAACAAAGGCAAAGCATATTAAACACGTACCTTAAGCTCCATAACCTGAAAAGGTAAGTGAACTGTTGCGCCTCTGTGCTCTATAACCAGATAACCTCTTTTTTCTGATGCCCGAACCACCTTTACAACTTCTCCTTTCTTCAGGAGAACTTCGCTTCCGTCATCTAAAGGTGGCAGTAAAAAAAAAAAATGAAATTTATTTTCTTATTTTGCCAATTATAATGAAGCACATAGTTCACTCACCTGGATAATCCATTTTCATGATACGATTTTGTGGGAACCCCATCTTCATATTTCCTAGCACAGTATACGGACGGCTTTTAGGCAAAGGTGGGGGAGTCTCCTGAAAAGATGGCAGCAAAAAACTTATGATTCTGTCCTTGTTTTCCATTTCGCGGTATTTTTGTTTTAGATCGATCACAAAGCGGTGCAGAGTAAAAACAATGCTCTATCTCACGTTACGAACCATTTTTTCATACTAAACAGCAGTAATCCTAAATGAATCACTGTATTCCCAACTCTCTCCTTTACGAAAGCCAACCTACCATATCGATTCCGAAGAGACAGCATGACTGGTCGGCAGCCTTCGTGTCAACCCGAAGCTCATCCGACGGGGAAACTGATCTGCGAACAAGACTATAAAAAGAGATATTGAGTTAAAGCGACGAGGCTTAGTTAGGGGAGAAGCAAACTACAGTCTTGGACGACATCGCGAAAAAGCAATCAAAGTACTTCATGAACGTGGGACAAAAATAAAATCTAAGCTATGCGTCTTGACGTCGTGGCAAATTCACTATCAACCTTAACCTTATCCCTCCTTACTACTCTTCAAATACCTTTGGCTATCGGTTTACAATATTTACCTGTGATTAGTTTTGCTACCCTGCCGGCCTTTTCTCTGAAGTTCCAATGAACGTTTTAGGTTTGGCCATCTCTTTCGACAGATCCATCTCCTGAGACAGCATTGGATCGTCACAACGGCCTTCACTTTTCTTTCTTCGTATAATTTGTCCAATTCTTGCTTCACAACCTCACTACAAAAGTCCACGACAAGCGACGAACAATTATTGTGCAAAGCCTGGCACACATTAAAAAAGTATCATAATGTCCATCTGTTTTGTTTCAACGTCTTCCCTAATTCCAGAGGTTTTCCTTTCTATTTTGCATTGAAATTCGGAGCGTTACATCAAAAAAAAATGCGAAAGAAAGACTCACTAATTGAGAAAACTGAAAATGAAAAAAAAAAAAAAATGATTGCAAGTTACCTGTAGAAAACGTATCTCTTTCCCAGTACCCAAGAGCCAAACATGACGTCATTATTGGGCTTGTCAACTTTTCTCATCAGCGTCTCCAGAATATCTTTGCAATCCTCATACCCAGTCTCCTCCAGACCCCGGACTTTACGCGGCGAGACAAAGCTATATCTCTTGGCGAATGCTTCAAGTCGAATGCGATTAGCGAGGGCTGAAATAGGATAATTATGTATAAGAAATTACTGATTAAACCGCATTTTGTGTGGGTAACTTTTTGATAAAAGTGACGAGGGACACGCAAAGCTCTTCCCATGTGGTTTGCATCATGTATCATGTAATCTATATTCGTTGTTTTTTTGTTGTCAATTGTATCACGATTCGTCTCAAGGCCTTACAGAACAACGGGCTCTTTTCGTTTTCTATACTTAGGGAAAAACGGCTGGGATTTTCAGTCGCTTTACACTCCATTTAAATGTGTTTAACCCGTTCGCTCCCAACATCCCATCAGTAATTCTCCATACAGCCTGCCATACGATTGTTATGATGTTAGTTCGGAAAATTTGGTATTCGATCAAGTAATAACACCCTAGTTAATATTTTCCTTTATTCTTATGAATTTTCTGCTTAATATTGTATTGATATTGTAAGGAGAAATTCTGTCTTGGTAACTAAAGGGAGTCTAAGGGTTAACTACCTGACTGTAACAGTTGAAGAGTCTCGAATATCTGCAACACTCGAATCTGCTGACTGACAATTCCACGGTCGAAGGAATATGGCTCCTCACGGGTATTTATCTGTAATCAAAAGTGAAACACGAAGCAGGAGGTTAACGACAAAGATTAAAACTAACTGAAACTAACTGCTTTCCGAGGGAGAGTACTGTTGATAACTTTGGATACAGAGTGAAAAGAGATTTGTTTGACGGAAAATGTATCAATTGAGACACCTTTCCTCCCTTCTGGTAGAGCACAAAAAATTGTGCCGACCACTAAAAAAGTTTTTAGATTTTTATTTCACTGAACACATGAAATAAACACTTCATGCGTCACCAGAAGAGCACAAGATTGTAAGTAGAGCAATGAGTATGGAAAGTTACCTGAGATTTGTTGGTTTTGCTTTACTTCGCTTTGTGATTGGTCCATAAAACTCGCGCCACACTCTCAACCAATCACGACTTGGTCGCCCGCGTTTTCCCGCGCTTTAAGCAGTTTGGTTACTTTCACCTTGAGTTTTCATTGGCTCTTTAATTAAGGTTTTTTTTTTTTTAACATCTGATTGACTGTTGCAATAACGTTTGTTTGCTTTTCATCTGATTGGCTGTTGGGATGACGTTTGTTTTCTTTTTACGACACTTAATCGGAAAATGCTCGAACAACAAAATAAGATAGTTAAAACAGGCCTACAATCATAACTTGCCTTTATACATCTCACAAATGTCGGTTGCGCTTGAACCAGGGTTTTGAGGAGACCATCAATTTTTTCCTATAAAAAAAAGTAGAAAGAAAAATTAGACAACACACCGTGAAGGCGTCGATGGGATTTAATGATACAAAACTGTGGGTTTCTTTAACCCTTTCCCTCCCAGGATCTCATTACTATCTGTCTCACAATTCCTATGATGTTAGTTCGGAGAATTTGGTTTTGGATCAACTAAAAACATATTTTTTGATAGTTCTCTTTATTCTCTTTACTTGTCTGTTTGATATTGTACTGATATTGTTAGGAGAAATTCTGTCTTGGTCAGTCGCGGGAGTTAAGTGTTATCTATTCGAAAGACGAAAATTTGATAAATAAGCGAGGAGGAAGAGAATCTCGCAGTAACCGTCCAGGGCAAACTTTTTACTTTTGCTCGAGACTTTAAAACATAAAGAAAAAGATTAGCCCTTGGAAAACTGACCTGAAATCCTTGAGAAAATGTACGAAGAGGAGCATCAGCTGTTCCTGCGGGGCTGTTATTATTGTTGTTAAGAACAAAAAAGTTGTTTTAAACAATGCTGCGAGAGGCAAGTACTGCTTGCTCCTTTAATCCTTTACACTCCAACATCCGTATGTATATTCTCCATACTGTTCTCTATACATTTACAATTATATTGGTAGGGAGAATATGTTCAAACATCGTGAGCTTCTTGAGGCGGTGGTCACTTCCTATATTCGCAAAGCCTTAATGTTTGATTCAGCAGTGGTATCATGATGTATACAGAAGTTAAATACAAGCCACTCATAGGGGTTAAAGGGCTAGCATGTTATCTTCGGCTTAGAGCATTCTTTCACCTCAGAGTCAGTCCTGTATTGCAATATTTTTTTTATTTAACACTGTATTTTGATTGGTCGAGAAAAATCACACCACTCTCTCAAACGATCAGATGCGAACTACAACCGAGCACAACCTGGTAACTACACGCGCTTTCCCGCACTTCAGACAGCCTCAATGACAAGAGTTCAAATGAACCCCTGGAAAACAACGTTCTGATGGTGTAGAGCAGTATTCCTTAAATCAAATTAACCCATGACGAGAATCATGGATAGTAAATAATTGTGATTGTCTCTCACCTTTGCGCCTCCTGAGCAGGGGTAGGTGATATCCTGTAAAGCACCCCCTTGGGAGCTGTTGTCTGTCCTTGCTGAGGTTTCAAATCATTGGTGAAAAGATGCGTAGCGAAACCAAAATTACAGTTCTTAAAAAAAAAAAAAAACACTCGCCGTCATATACCACTACCACTTTTCTGTAAATCTGCGTGAAGAGCCACTAAAAAACAGTATTAATTGGTATACACGGAGAAACACAGCTCCGCGGTCGACGTGACAGACACTTGGCGTCACAGAATACCTTTGTTGCGTGACGTTTAAGTTAATTCTGTCTTCCTCGAGATTGAAATAACAATATACATTTAGTCTTTTGCCACTTGACAAAACATTGTGAAGAAATACTAAGCAATACTAATCCCTTGCCTGGTGAAGCCAGTCTGAATAACAAACCTGTCTTGAGAACACACAGATAATGTCATCATTAATTGAGTCTCTGTTGATGTTAAGAAGAGAGCTGGCATCATATACGACCTACAGAGAAGCAGAACTAAAAGTCAGTGTGTGCTGAAGAACGTCGCGTTCAATGCGTCGCGTTCAGAACGTCGCCGTCCCAGAAAACTCTCCCATACCAGGTTCCCAATCAGAAAAAGGTGTGATGACTTTGATTCGGTTTGACCACAATTCAACACTCTGTAATGTTAGCAAAGAGAAGAAGTAACCTCTTTTCCAGGACCTCTCTCCTCTCACCCTCCCCACTCCCCACCCCCCTACCCGTTCCCCTCCGCACTAAAGCCAGAAAGAGAGAGAGGAGGGAAGAAAAAGAAAGAAAAGAACCTGGACACGAGGTTGAAGTAAAGAGCTTCAACTCACATTTCCATTGTAGTGCGATACTCCAAAACACGAACTCTCGGGATCTGGATCAAAAAAGCTGAAACGAAAAATCGTATCAAAGAAATTACAAAATTTTTTAATTGACTCTACCCGCTCCGGTTCGGAATCTGACCACCTCCATATCGAACTATATAAATACAGTATGCTATTTTGTTCCTCTACTTTAATCTCGGTACAAATAGAGTTCTCCGTCAGTCATAGTTGTTTCGAACGTTAATTAACATTTTTATCTTACCTATCGCTGTCTTTATGCTGTCCCTTTACTTTTTGTAAGAAGTTCTGGTAGCTTCCTCTGTAAGAAATATTAGCCTTGTTGATACCTCCGCAACATTACCATCTAACATACAATCTTCGCTGTGAATCCATAACTTTTATACTAGTTCTTTATTGCGTTTGATCACTCATTTACCGTTTTTCTTTTACCATTTATTACAAATAGACTGTTTTAAAAATAACCGTTGCTCATATGCGTGTACCTTTTCTCGCGTCGATTAACACTAGCTCGTTTTCCGAGCATGACAGAAACGTGTCACAGGTTTTTCCACCTTAACACTACTGAGTTGGAACGGTTAAATTTTTTCTATTTCTTGCTGAATGTTTTGTTATGATTAAAGCTACTGGAGCAGTGTTCTTTTGTGCGTCGAAAAAACCAAATCCAAAGCAATCCTTAGCGAGCAATCAGAACAAAGGTTTACATCATCGAAAGCAATTTGGGATAGCTTTGCTTAGCTTATTGGGAACGGAGAGCGCTTCAAACGCGGGTAGACGCAAACAACCAAAACGCACTTTGTTTCATTTTTGCACTTGAATGTTTGAGAAAATGGCGAGAGGTTTCTGGACCAATAACAAGGAACAGAGAGCGCTTCAAACGCGGGAAAACGTAAACAACCAAGACGCACTTTGTTTCGTCTTTGCACCTGATTGGTTTGGAATAGCGAGAGTTTTCTTGACCAATTACAAAGTAATCCTTAGCGACCAATCAGCACAAAGTTTACATTACCATTAGCCAATGAGAGGTCAAGGTGATTTTTATCAAGCAAACTGCTTGGACATGGGAAAACGCGAATGACTAAGTCACGATTGTTTTAGGTTTTGCATCTAAATGGTTGAGGGGATTGCGCGAGTTTTCTTAACCAATTTTTTGGAGCAAAGGTAAGGAAAACCATAACAATCTCAAATTACTTTCGTCAATCAATTGATTCTTAAAGAATGTAACAAACATAGACCTTTACTGTTTAGGAAAAAGAAGACCTTTCCATAAAATGAGAGTTGTAAAGCGCGATCACCTTCTTACCTTGCGAATAAGCTTTCTTTATCCAACACTGTTAAAATCCCAGCACGCTATGATAAAGAGAGTCAAATGAAAATTATGATAGCTTTCGATTCGACACCAAACAACGTAAGGTCTTCCAGTAAATGGTTTGAACCCGGGGGTAACATGTATTAGCGTACTTTGACCGTCCGAGTGAGTGTAGTACCGAGAAGGACTGTTGTCGGTAGTGATGACTGGCGTTTCGACAACCTGTGCGGAAGTCATCTTCAGAGTCAAACTTAAGGTCTAGCAACAACGAAAGGTTGTAATCATAACAAATATAATCATCAGATAAGAATTTTATGATAGGGCGGATTGACAGCTTACAGGATGCCTTTCGAAGGAAACTAAAGTATGTACTATCGCCAAACAGAACAGAGGCCAACATCACAAGAGGTCAATGAGAACTCAAGACAATTATATGCAAATGTGGCCAAGCGCGGGAAAACGCGGACGACCCTGACGCGGTTTGTTTCACTTTTGCATCTGATTGGTTAAGAAAATGTCGAGAAGTTTCTGGACCAATAACAGGAAACAGAGAGCGCTTCAAACGCGGGAAAACGCAAATAACCAAGACGCACTTTGTTTCATTTTTGCACCTGATTGGCTCGGAAAATGGCGAGAGTTTGCATGACCAGTTTTAGAGAACAGAGAGGCAAACCAGTAAACTCCCGAATCACTTTCAATATTTTTGAAAAATGTTTTTAAAATTGCTCTCAGGCATTTTTTAACGTACCTGGCAAGTGAGTAGCTCAATGCACGGAGCGTTATCAAAGTAATCCACTCCAAAATCTGAAAGAACACCGTCTTCCCTGTAGAATGAAGAGAGGTGAAAAAATTAAGGCTTGGATCTTGGATCCTTCCTAAAGAGGGAAATGTTAGAAAAAATCTGGAGGTAACATAAAAAGAAAAACAGGTTTGAAACAATACCTGCTGTACTCTTCTCTGCTCTTGAATATATGAGTGTTGTAGAAATGTTGTAATGTTTCAGAGCACAGATTTACACAGAGCTGTTCAAGTTGATTCACCTATTACAAGAGAAGGACAAAAAACAAAAATCAATGAGACCCAGAATTGACAAAAACAGATTCCAGCAGATAGTGAAGGGCAAACTCTTCTTGTATAAAACACCTGAGAGACTAATCATTAAAAAGATTCTTCCACTCAGTGTTGGTGAAGGGGGGGTTACTATCAAACAAAAAGAGGGACAGGTAGGGGAGACCCCAAATGGCTCAAAATTTGTGATCCAAAGAATTATCAGCCTGATGCAAGATGGAAGTGCAAGTTGAGGGCAATAAGCACTTAACTTTGTAGCTATGATATTCACCATGCCTAGTACATTCCTTGACTTATTGACAGTTATTGGTCCATGTCATACCTCACTGTTTTCAAAGCCAAACATATCAATGATGCCGATGAGTCCAGAGGCTCCCTTGGTGAACTGGAAACTACCATCCAGGCTGGGAGTGGATGGGGGAGTAATCACTGGTAAAATATCAAACAAGATAGAAAATAAATTGAAGGTAATAAGGTAAACATCAGATTTTTATGCTAAAAAAGTTATCTTGCTGATGTAAGGCTAGTGAAATCCATAAACCCTCTGGCCTCTTAAAATAAAAATTTATTTTGGTGAGCCAAACATGTTTCTAGTGACAGGCTTAACAACCTTAATGATACTCTTGTTAGTCTTGAAGGACATGCATGCTACCAGTTGAATGATGAAAGGAAAAACATATATTACCCCAGTTTTCACCAAAAGGAAAAAATGAAGTTATATTATATTTTAAGAAACTGTATAACTTATTACTTACACAAAATTGTACAAAATTCCAAAGAAAATTAATTTTCAATTCAATGTTTCAAATTTCACAATACCAGGAAGTGATGCCATTAGCAAACCATTGCTGGAGGTAAGTGGACTTTTACCCAGAGACCCATTTGATCCAGGAGAACTGGATGCAGCCCGCAATGACTCATAAGATCCTTGGGGTGATACTGACATCAGACTTGCAGGTCTCTTGTAGCTGTTGACTCGTCGGACAATAGCAGCTACTGTCCTGCAGTACAGTGCCTTGGCAAGACTGTCTCTGTTTGAATTTGCCTAACAAAAAGGAATCAAAAGACCCTTTGAGTCAACTCTGAATAGAGAGGAGGATTTGGAGTTGAATGTCACTTCGAGACAAAGGGTTATTGGAGATTTTGTTTACTCGTCCACTTGAATCCCTTCTTTATTTCTATGAAACTTGCTATTAAGCAATATTGCATAATCCAGTCTTGCATAATTTTGACTGCTCTTTGTTACTCATTACATACATTTCCACGTGCTGAGCACTTAGGATAAAAGAGATTGTCAATTAGTTACACACCTAAACTTTGATCAACTTACAGTAACAGAGTCACACAGCGATCTAAGAATCTGCCCTCTCACATTCTTGGTTTTTGTGGTCAGACCTCTGTACAATGAAACCCCAGAAACGCCAAGAAGAGCAGCAACAGCTTTGATTTCTGTCAAAAATAGAAGAAATATTTTCAACCCTTTAGTACCCTCATTTAAATCCTTCGTTTGATGACTGGATTATTCCCTAATACTTGAAATTATTTCACCTACCATTATTTCCCTTGACATCAAGTTCAAGACCTTCACCATCAACGAACTCTACATTTCCAAGTAGAAGAATTGCCACTA